ATTTGCCCAGGTCCTCTAGGTACAGCAGCAGTAATGTTGCTTCAGGAATCTCCACTGTGTGGAGAGCTCTTGGTGTTGCTTCTCAGCATTTGATTTGGGTGACCAAATAAATGCTTGTGTGGATAATCAGAAGGCCAAGAAACACTGCTACAGGTACATATTCTCTTCTGCACAGCTTGCACTAATGCAACCAGCCATGTTCATTCTAGGGCCTCCCCTGCATTTATTCTATATACCTATATATTGTATTCTAGATACCAATGTACTTTTGACATCCTTCACAGTCACAACACGAACAGCTTTCTGAGACAGACGCCTAAAATTCCCTCCCCTGGGCAGAGTGACACACAAGAGACTGATTCCAGAAGTCTTCAGATCACCTGGTGTTTTGAAACCTTTTTGAAATATTATTGTGCCTGCAACTTCCTTACCTAAACCCTCAAAATGCTTAATCATATAATATTATGAATGAAGATCTCTGCCATAAGTTTAACTGAGCTTCGTATTTCAAACACACTGCTGTAACAGGTAGGTTAATTCCCATAACTTTCATTCATTAATCAATTATGGATTTATTTTAGCTGAGTTTAAGGCAACTAACCTTCTGCGTGTTTCAATGAAGCTGAAACTACAAAGGCCGTCTCTTTGTAAAACAGACAAAAAACCCGTAACTTTGTTTTCAGGGGGTTGTTTTCTATTAGTTCACTAGTGATGAGAGTTAAAGACTCCAAAGGAGCCTAGACTGAATGTATTTTTTAGGAGCAATGCTCTAAAAAAACCAACCAACCAAAAAAAAAAAAACCCAAATAAAACACCACACCAAACCTCCCCCCCCTAAACACCAATACAATTAACAAATTAAGAACCCTGAAATATTTTGGCAGAGAAGCCCATGCCACTTTCCCAGCATGTCGCGTGCCCTTGCTGTGGCCAGTGGTAACTCCTCACCAGCAGTTTACAGGACACCAGCTACATCTGTTCCTCGGTTTGTGCTCATGGGGGCTGTGCTCCGGAATACACACGTTTTGTGTCACAAAAAATGCATACTCAGCCCACAACCGGTGGGGGCGACACACCCATTGAGAACGAAGTAAAATCTCGCTAAATTAAGAGCTTGCTGGAATTTCAGAGTGTGATAAAACTTCTGAAGATGATAATTACCAGTCTCTGGATCTCTTCACTCAAGTGTTTTAGATGCAGAAATGGACTGGAATAAATATGAGATACTGATTATTTTGATCTAACAACTACTTACTCCTTTGACATGTACAATAACCAAATATTCCTAAAAATATGTATTCACAGTACAGACTTAAAATAAAACTCATTAAAACCACAACTTTTTGCTCCCAAATAAATATAAAACAGTATGGTCGTTTATACCCCATTTATTAAGACAGAGCCATCTATTAATACACTGGTTGGGTAGCCATAAGTCACATTATTTTCTTACTGTATTAAGATGCAAGACAGTTTGGCAACCAGTTAACAGAGACAAATTAGGCAGGGTGGAGAAACATTTAAGCTGCAGCAGGTTAAAAACCATCTAAGCTAGGGAGACCTAAACCAGCGCAGTTATACAAGGTGCTGGCATCGGGCAACGCGCGGCACGGCACGCTTGCCGGCCAACTCCTCGAGTGCCCGGCGGGCCTGCCAGGGCCCCTTCAACTGGAATGTTGGGAAAAGGTCCAGGGACCGTCTGGGTGCCGCTTTTTTGGACACCTACCAACAAGCGCATCACCAAAGCTAGTTTTTCTGCGCACGGATCGCAGAGGGTATTTTGTAAGAATGAAGGCTTCTGGTAAGAAAGTTTATAGTGCAATCTGAATTAATTTGTGCCCACAGTGTCATTATTCATTCTCCCGAAACAGTTTAAATATAATCGTGTAGGAATTTGCTATCTCCATAAAGATATTACAAAGTAGTGCTTATACAGTTGGTGACTACATTCAATTTTAATAACTATATCTCTTCATGCTTTTGCAAAACTACAAGTACGAAAGCAAGAAGTGACAAAGCAGCCGAGTACTTCTGTATCTTCCAAAAAACTATTAAAATTCTCAGGGCTCTAAAAAGTTAATATGCCTTATCGCACAGGAAGCACGCACCGTGTTCAATTTAACAGCTGCTCAGAGAAGAACAAAACCTAATTCTGCTTCCTCTTTGCCAACGTGCCACCAAGTTACCACTCCTGCTGAGAGATCAGAGAGGTTGCTTTACTCCAAACAAGCAAGTTCAGATATGTTTCTGCTTGTCAGTGTAGCTGTATGCTTAACAAGGAAATTTGCAACATTAGCTATATCACACATACACAGTTATGGTCTGGGTTGGTTTGTTGTTTTTTTGTTTGTTTGGGTTTTTTTGGGGTTTTTTTGGTTTTTTTTTTTTTCCCCTACTGAAGACAGAAAAAAAAGAGTAAAGCACTCGGAGCTTCAGCTCATGAATACATTGTGTTGGCCCTAAGAAACCTAGCTGACCACAGCTGTAGCTTTAATGCAAATTTACAGAGTGAACAATTATTCAGCTGGAAAAGCACATACACAATAGTTACCTTGAGAACAACAGATTTAAAGATGGTACCTGGTTAACATCCTATTGGTATGCTATTTTGCTAAGTGAAATATTTTACAAAAATAAGAAATGGCAATGCTTCATTGAAATAACAAGAGAATTTTTAGAATTCCAAAATATTAATGCTCACCATATGGGTGTACTTCAGGTAGCTTCAAGAAAGACCATGAAACACACACATGCTTGAAGGCATCTTATTAACATATATATATGTATATATATATGGGCTACGTAGATTCTTGCAGACTAAGGTTTGACACATACATGATCGTTTCACACCACCACTTTAGGAAGATGAGACTCAAAAAGCACTTTCAAAATTTGAAATGTGAATTGCTTTAAAAAGCTGACAAATACGGTTATTTTAGAAAGACTTACAGAAGATTCAGTTCCTATTTTTCCACTAAATACTGTATTTCCAGGTGGCTTTGAAAAAAACAAACCCATGCTCCCTGCAGATCCAACTCTCTGGCACTCAGCAACTTCCAACTTGACAGCTTCAGTCTTACATGCAATTCTGCAGCAGCAGAGACAAGCTTTAAAAGCATTCAGCAAATATTTTGGCTTACACATGGAGACTAAAGCAAACTGGGTTTGTTTCATAGAAATTCAGAGTCTTTGCTTGTTTCTAAGTAGTGCAGAACCTTAAACATGGACTTCGGGATGACATCTAGCAAAGGTTTGAATTCATCTCATCACAGACAGGTCTTTCAAAGTCTGTACGCTTCTGATTTGAAAACTATCATTTTGTAAGCAACAAGTCTTCAAATACACACAAAAGTACATAAATGCAAAACATGGCTTTGTAACTTATTTTCTTAAGAGAAGTTTCATTCTGACAAGTAAATTATCTGGACAAGTGTCTGCATGTCCTTAAGAGTATTTTCATAAGAGTTATGCCTTTAAAACTGATAAAAAACCCCAACCCGCAGACCCTGATATATAGCCAAAATATAGTGTAGTTCCCTTTCTCCAATTCCACGGGGACAAATATAGATTTCTAAAAAGATCTGGATTTAATACCTTCTTCTTTTTTAAATTGTAATTCTGTTCTACAAACAATGATCCAATTAAGAGTAAAACACCTCCATGTGCTATATGTCAATGCATTAATGACATTGTTTTATTTACACAGGAATTCCCCGACATTAGATAACACATTATATGGAAATTACAATTATTTTAATTTCCATACCTTGGTAATCTGGAGCTGTTGCTGACTTTCTAAAAGATCACAATGTGTGTATTTACATGCAGCAAAACCACCAAGTTGTGCTAAGTATTCAAAGATCTTAATTCCCACATAGCACCACCCCCCTCCCCTTTTCAAATATGGCCAAAAGATCTTTGTAAGATTTTTTGCAAAATAATCCTACTGAGTAAGCCCTTTCTATAGCCCTTTCTGCAGAAAAAAGAATAACCTTGAAATCACACTTTACAAGATTGAGGCTCAAATACTTATTTGTCATGTAACCAAATCAGACTGGAAACATGCTACCATACCTTATTACATTGAATCCTACTGTTAAAAAAAATATCAGTGGTTTGTGCACATCTTTTGAAGACCTGCGTAAGATTTTCTAAACAAAATCAGAAGGTTAAAGTTAAAGCATACTCCTCAATTAGAAACGAGGAAATCGACTACTTGCATTCTCAACATACTAACACTTTAGTGCCTTTCGAACTGAAAATGTATTCAGTAATACACTGCAGCTTGAGTTGTCAACGCTCAAGTCTACCATAATTTAAAAAGTGATTATTTTTAGCATAACCACACTAGCAAGTTGTTCTGTGTATTTCAGTGAAGCAAAGCTTTAAAAAAAGTTGTAGAACAACAGATCATTCCTTTTTTGTGTTTTAAGAGAGCAACAAATCCTCTCCATAAAGATTATTTACACAAATGCAAGAGCAAACTTTCTGAGATAAGGGTTTGGGGTTTTTATTTTTTTTTTTTTTTCCAAAGATTCCACCACATGATAAAAAAATTAAATGAATGTGTATTCCTGACCACATTGATAATGTCACAGCTAGAATCTCATCAGCTAGTTTATGACAAGCAACTGCAACGGGTGTAAACAAAAAACAGGTCCCTACTTTGGGACAAAGCTTGGTTGCAGGTTGACTGTACGATATTAATATTGAAAGCAAGATTTAAAGTAAACTCATCTGGAATTCAGATCCAACTGAGGGAACAGTGAGAACGACACAGTGAAGGTACACTTGGGTGCAATTTCATGCTGGTGACTTTTTTTTCCTCTTTTTATGCTTAGAGCAGATTTTAAACCAGGAGTTGCATATCCAATGACACACACACACAATTCAAAACTTAAGTGACCATTAGCACATTTGTACACATACTTACATAAATTTAGTATTTACATATTCTAAACAAAGTTCCATTTTAACAGTTGAAGTCTTTTAACACATGAAAGAAGATAGGCTACTACAAAGAATGCGTAACGGGATCACAAATTTTCCACAAGCATATAAACACAGTTTTAAAGTGCTTTCTGGGTGCTTCAGATTAACCCCTTGCAATATGAGCTTCTATGTAGTGCTGTTCCAGTCATTACAAAACTATTTAAATCATTCCCCTTCAGGTGCATTGTAAGTTCAAGAAAAATGACGACACCACTGATGTAAAAGTTTTAAGCTCCACCAACATAAATGTATACATTACTTAAGTTCAGATGAAGTTGGCAATTACTTTGGTTTATCATAGCTTGGGATAAATATTTGATAGAACAGAAATTGCACCTCTCCACTCTTAAGTTTTTGACTAAAAAAATACCCCAAGATAAATTGACAGTATTCTTTGGTAAAAACAGGACATTTGGCCAGTTTGCGTGTACATCTATTTATTAAAATAGTCTAAAAGTGAACAAATGCCACTGCTGTACTGTCAATTTACAGGAATAACCATTCCTTACTCAGTGGGGAGTATCAAAACATTAAGCTTAGCAGTTAGCTATATAACAAGCTGAAACACCTTCAGCAACCATTACAGGGGATCACTTTTTGCTTAACATTTATCCTTTACATTACAAAAACTGTAAAAAGCTCTATGCCTGCAGACAAGTCCATTACTTTGCAGTGACTACAGAAACATTATTCAATGGTGTACACTGTTAGGTTTCTTATAAGCGTGTAACAAAAACCAGGAATATGGTGTGCTGACCAACCAATAAGCAACTGCACAGTATTTGTGCATTACCTATACTAAGTATAAGAAAAGCCTATTAAAAATTCAGTTAACTGCTACAAGTTACATGACTATATAAAAACGGAGCAGATATACAATTATAACACTGAACATACTGTACTTTATTAGCACAAAAAGCCAGAACAAGGCACAGCAAGCAGAAAAATACATCAATAGAAGGGTTAGTGTAGCATACAAGAATAACGTTTATTGTACTTGCAGCCAAAATGTTCCCTACCTCGCACAGGTCAATGCCATAGAGAAGTAAGTAACAACATACTGTAGCAGCTGGTAAAGAAACTAGGGAGCACTCATAATTGGTACAAAACATTAAACAGGGGTCAGGGCATTCCAACAAAATTTTAGTGCAAAAATGTCTAAGACAGAACTATTTTTAAGTTCCATCTCCAATTAAATAAGCAAACAGAATCTTGTTTCCAAGTAATCTGTTGAAGCTATAATCAGTGCATATTACTTTAATACATTTTTAAAAGCGCAAATGGAAAGATATTTACAAATAAAGTGTAATAGTACCTTTGAAACCTGACATTTATTTCAGATATGTCAGCTTTTGTATTCCGATTATAATAATTCAACCACTTGTAATTTTCTCCATAAAAATATCAGGCGACTTTAAATAATTAAACATTTTTTCCTCTTGGCTGTTACCTTCCGTTGTAAGTTACTAGCAGTCAGGCCACCAACTTCTGTTTCAGAAAAACACGCAACCTTTTGTTTCATGGCAACAACCTAATCCTGTGTCGGGCCACTGACTCAGTAATTCACACTGGAAGGTATTTAACTGTCTTGGACAGTATTACTTTTGCTAACAATGCCACTTAAATCTCCAAGTGTTTCAAATAGAATTACAGTACTGAGCAGGCATATTCAAGTCTTAATGATTAGGAAACCTTATACATTGAGAAAAGCATGATTCATCTGTTAGCATCAAAACACCATTGACTCTTAATGGACTGCTTCTAATGAACTGCTCTTCATTAAAAGAAAATACTCTTATTCACTAGTATTTGGAAACTCGTTTGTGAGCTAAATTAGTACTTTGAGTAGTGGAAAGTTTTCAAGATGACAATTTTAAAAAAATACTTCAAATATTAGCAGAAATGCTCCTCTAATAAAGTCTTCCTTTATTAGCATTACATGAATGCCCCATGGAAAATGCCTCATAGTTTCTTCATCCAATTACTACAGCTATAAAAGGGAAACAAAATATTTAGAAATTAGCAAAAATATTTTCATCAGGCCTTAATGAAAAACGTGCAGAATTGTGTCTGCTTATTGTTTCCAAGAGGCATCACAACTTAGTTTGATTAACAGCAGGCAGCATCTGACAGGATACTAACACTCAGCTTAAATAGGATATTGCAGAAAAGCTAGACATTGTTGGTGCGCTCGCTGCAGTTAAACTGTAACACACAAAAAAAAGCATTATTCTAGAAGCTTATTCTGATTTCCATTTACTTTGTTTTTATAGGTTCCCGCTCCAGCCATCGCACCCTGACTTTTTGCTTATAGTGATACTCCTTTAGAAAGTCTTGCAACATCGAGGGTAGAGGAAGGTCATCAATTCCATCATACGTAGTGCACCTGCAGATTACTGCCCGGCAGATATACTGCAGACTAAAGGGGAAAGTCCTGTTCAGAGATACAGTAAGTAACGGTTCAAAGAACATGCAAGAGCTAGGGTCTTTGTAGTGTTCCAGAAGCCCTGTAACAGTGGAGGAGTGAAACACACAGGGATCGTGGGCATCGAAACTAAAGTTGTGATTCCACTGCTCAATGCGTGCATGTAGCGATCGGTTATAACGACGGAAGCTCACAGAGAAGAGGTAGTCCTCTTGCGCAGAATCCCTGAGCAAAAAAGTGCCTTCGGGTTTACCCTCCAGAAGCGCTTCTGCTTCATAGCGGTCCATCACACCCCAGTAACATGGGTTACCTGTGATCTGAAGTAAGTCTGGCACAAGGCAATGGATGTAATCAATTTGAGTATGCACTTTCCAAGCCCCCTGCCTGCTGATATGGCCGTGGCTCTCTCCAGACATCTGACGCTGCTTCTGCCTGCGTGACTGCAGACAAAGCGTTGTTGTGTCCTCTTCCGAGTCACAGTTCCCTGGAGGTGTTATGTTTTTATCCCCAGTCAGCTCGGTCATACCAGGGGCTAACTTTGGTCCCAGTTTATACAATGGATTAACCTGTGCTGTAGCTTCAAAAGTATGTATTTGGGCATTGGGAGGGGGATCAACCCCTTCTTCAATACTAAGTCTACGTCTCTCTCTGAGCCTGTCTTCTTCATCTTCTGTGGAAACCAAGGAAGGATCAAATGTGTCAAAAAAAGTTGAATGAGGACTCACAGGTGCTGTGTGTTGTTTAATCAGATGCCACTTCTGAGCCAGATCTGAGCCTGCGGGAAAAGGGCATTTCTCAAGCATTAGTTCAGAGAGATGGATCTTTCTTTTGTTAGAAAACAGAGGTTTGGACTGTTTGCTGTAAGTTCTCATGGGAAAACACAGCCCAACAGTATCTCGTAGACGTTGTCGCAGAGAACGGCTACCTACTGTCCTGTTTGATACTGCATCCATATCATGGACAGAGCTCACCCCATACCTTCTCTCCCTCCTCTGCAAACCGCTTCGTGTTCTACCAAATCTTTTTTCACTATCTAAGGAGCTCTGGTCCCTTCGAGCCAGTCTAGCTCCCGCGGTGACACAGGAGTCATTCTCTTTCTCAATGCTTATTTCAACTATCTGAGGAATTTCTGTGACACAGTTTTGGTTCCGCCTTGCCGAATTCTTTGAAGGACTTAAACCTAGTTGCAGAGCAATGTTCTCTCTCAAAGGGCTGCTGGGTTGTTGTTGAGCCAAATCAGTTATCTGGATAGCTTTCTCTTTAGCAGATGAGCAACTATTGGAGTTCACAACTACATTTTCATTTTGGTTTCCACCTTCATGACTGAAGAGATTCTGGCACCTGTATTTGAAACTGTTCCACATCTTTCCCACTTTATCCATGGATTACGTTATCTAGATTCAAGAGGAGAAGAAATATTAAAATAAAAATATAGTTTAAAAAATGAGGATACATCTTCAGTTATCAATTAAGTTACAGACACAAAACAACTGTTAATTGAACACACTATATTTGAAAGAGTGCCCTAGCATTTGTATGGTTACATGGAAGTAACATGCATCACACCATTTTGATATTTAGAAAAATCACCATGAAGAAATTGTTCAGGAAATTACAAACATTTTATTTATATGCAGGCCCTCCCATTTTTCTGTAGGCACGTAGGTAGGTCTACATAGTTGTATTTGATGGACAGGAAATATGCAGTCTAAAATTCTTCATTTTAGGAAGAATTTGTAAGTCATATGTAAGGTATGATTCCCTCATAAGCTTCCAATAAACAGCAGTAAAACAAATCCTGAAAAAGAGCTATTAAAGTCACTAAAAATATGAGACCAGTTAGTAAAATCCAAGAAGCGCACGGCAAATGTCCAGGTACTTCATTTAAAAGCAAAAGCTCCAGCAGCAGGCCAGATAAATTCCAAGCTACAACTGACAAGATTAAAAAAATTAGCACAAAAATAGAAATTTAGAGGGAAAAAGGCATTCACCATTCTTAGATGAGGCAATCACCAAAAGACAAGGAAAGGCAGTAGGGTATCAGCAGAATTTTAGAATTATGAAGTATCTAGTATATTAATAAAAGCCATACACATGAAACATCAAAAAAACCCCCCCGTCTGGCTTTATTACTTAAGATATAAAAGAATGACAGAGCCCAAGGAGCTTTTCTATCTTTAGTAAGAGCACTTAAAAAGAAAGCAGGTCCGCAGCAGAAACATGATGACAGTGAATCATGAAGATACAGTAAAAAGATAAAAACATTAGCAGTATGTATTCTGTAACTACCTCTTTAGAAACAGAGTTTGATAATTGGAACAAGACTGCCAAAAACACAGGACTGCCCTAGGACAGAGAGAAACAGGCTAATTCTGTACTAAAAAAAGTCAGGCAATGCCAAGCTAAATTAGATCTAATTAAGTTCCGAGAGAAGTGCTAAACTTAAAAGGACTAAAACATGTCATCTTATCTAATTTAACTCTTAATGGAAACTGCTCTGTTCTTTGGAAACATTATTTTGAAGCCACATTCCTCTGTTGCTGCAGTTCTCTTCTGTTCACAGCTAGAAAGGAATCTGAAGCGTGACTGAATGCACTGGGTCTCATGAAATAACGTGGATGATAAACAAGTAAGCAACTCTAGCGATCCAGTCTAGAAGTCCCTGAAGACAGAAGCGCAGCTGTAAGCCCATGACTTTATAGCAGAATCCACTGAGACCGGGGAATAGTCAGCGGTATAGCTTACATGAGACTCAGGAAAGGATAATGAACGCGAAACACCTAGCTGTTACAGGAACAGAACGCAAAAGGACCAAAAGCTTTCTTCCCCATCCCCTCCTCAGACACCTAGCTTGCTGTTTGCTGAAGTATCTACATCCAATTGCATAAAATAAAACCTTAAGAATTCAGTGTGGCTGCAGAGAGGTGTGGGGGCAGGGGGGAAGCAGGTCAATCAGGCCTTAACAGTCTCTGGAGATTACTGGTACGAGTTACCTAGAACATAGTGCTAATGACAATCTGAACAACACCCAAGTAGTTATTAAGGAGGGAGACACCTGCAGAGAAATGTTATACATAAACAATGCTATAGAGTTCTGTGCACATGTAAAAGTGAAAGTGTGTAAGCAGAAGAACAAGGAATGTCTTCCGATTAAAAAAAAAAATATTCCAAATTTGTTTTTTCTGGAGTTGTCTGGACCAAGCTGGGGGACTAGGGGAGTTCTAAGAGCAGCAAAACTAATAAAGGCAGAGCGCGTACAGATTAGCGAGAACCACGCAACCATGTATCATGCCGTTGCAATAATCATAGCTGTTTGCGGTGTCTCAGAATATCCACACTGACCAGGAGGCAGTGTATGTTCGCTGGCTGCCAGTTTGTCAACGCAGTATATATAAGGTTGACTTCTACCCATTTTTCTCTCAAGATGCACATTTCTCTCTTCTCCTAGTCACAGATATGTTTAAAGTTTTGGGAAGGCAGAAGGAAAAAGAATAGATAACCTCCATTCCCTTGGGAAATCAGGCTAGAAACAGTATACATCTTTGCAACAACGCACTGGAATTACTTTTCTAACCAAACCAGTCATAGAATCACAGAATGATAGAATGTTTTGGGTTGGAAGGGACCCCTAGAGGTCATCTAGTCCAAGCCCCCTGCAGGAGCAGGGACACTGCTAACTAGATCAGGTTGCTCAGAGCCCCATCCAACCTGGCCTTGAATGTTTCCCGGGATGGGGCCTCCACTACCTCTTTTAGGTACTGAAAGGCCGCAATCAGGTCTCCCCGCAGCCTTCTCTTCTCCAGGCTGAACAAGCCCAACTCTCTCAGCCTGTCTTCATAGGAGAGGTGCTCCAGCCCTCGGATCATTTTAGTAGCCCTCCTCTGGACCCGCTCCAACACTTCCATGTCCTTCTTGTGCTGAGGGCTCCAGAGCTGGACGCAGTACTCACCAGAGCAGAGTAGAGGGGCAGAATCACCTCCCTCGACCTGCTGGCCACGCTTCTCCTGATGCAGCCCAGAGTACGGTTGGCCTTCTGGGCTGCCAGCGCACATTGATGGCTCATGTCCAGCTTTTCATCCACCAGCACCCCCAAGTCCCTCTCAGCAGGGCTGCTCTCGATCCTTTCTTCCCCCAGCCTATACTGATACTGGAGGTTACCCTGACCCAGGTGCATGACCTTGCACTTGGCCTTGTTGAACCTCATGAGTCATACACTATTCAGTGGTGTCTTTTACTATAAAATTGCTCGTTATTGCTCTTCCTTTGCGCTATCAGGCTAGAATCTTTAAACTGTTAGATGGGTGGAAAGTTCTCTACACAAAGAACAAACAAACAACAAACCCCCCACCATATTGGCTTGACAGACTGTACTGTTAAGTTAAATTTAAGGTTAGCTATTTTTTGTCATACTCAAGAGAATATAGATACCCTTCTTACCCAGAAAAGCATACGAGTCGCCGTCTCTTGTCTTGAGAATATACCTCAACATGAACTTGCTAGATTCCTTCTCTGAGTTGTGGACATGATTACTACAAAGAGAAAAATGGTATTTTTGTTAGTTGGTAGACTATATTTTAATTTAGATATTTACAGTTAGTCACTGGTATCAAAGGTATATTTTACTAATTATATCTTAAATGTGTGCATGGAGCTGCCTGCTCATTATATATTTTTAATGCATATTATCATAAACAAAAAGCTTCACAGAACTTTTTCATCCATTAACACCATTTGTCAAATAGAGTCCAGAAAGGATCCTCAAATGAAGCTTTTGAGAACCAAGAACAAAGCCACAGCACCTGGATCACTGAAGTGCCAGGCATGATGGGCATACTTAGGCCTATATAAAAATGGTTTCCCCACATTTTGGTCTGAAGTCCAAAGCAGTGGTTCCCAAGTTGTGGTTGGCAGCGCTGTCAGATCACCTCATACTGCCTCTCCTCCTTGTTTCCAGCTGCTACATCACATCAAAAGGCAGCTAAAAATACACGCTTTTCTAATATTACTTTTCCAGGTAAGCAACTGCTGTACTTGCCACAAGGATGTTATATGATTGTGAAGCAAGAGGAATATGAACCATGATTCTAAAAATGGGAAAGTGGAATACAAGACAAGTTCTTTATTAAAAGAGTAGGTCAGCACTTCCCTAAAATAATCGTCATTGTTTTTCAGAAATCCAAGAGGAGTTGAGGGGTTCAGTATGCTAACACCACTGTCAGAAATCTAACAGTAACAGGACAGAGAAGAATAATTTAATTTGCTTCTCCACACTAGAACCAAGCCCAGAACCGCAGTAAAAGTTAACAGAAAACATTGGGAACTTACGTTAAAAGCTTTACATGCAGAACAAGAAGAAGAATATTCACATATTATGCATATTTACTGGAATGAAAAACTATGGGATTAAGCAATCACTAGGTAAATATTAAACGTTAATATTCCTAGGCAGAAACTCCAGAGTAATGTCAGAAAAGTACTAAACATTATTAGTTTCCATTCCCCTCTGGAAGCACTAAAATTGCTGAAACGCTTTTAAAGTTAGGCCATACTACTGCTATTGAAAGATTCCATAAAGGTATTCCAGAAAGCAACAGACTTACAAGTACAAAATCTTAGTACAAAATTAAGACTAAAGCAAAAGTAAAGTTCTTTTGCAACTTTAACATTTAAACCCACTTTTTCCCCCATTATGCTCCTAGCAAGTCCACAAACACATGACAGTAAAACCTAGTGTAATTGGTTCAGAGAGGGGCCTTAACAGAGCAAACGAAAGGTAAAGTGGCTAGAATAAGGGCTACACAATTTTCAGTAAAGCCTTACTTACAGCATTAGGTCATTCAGGCCTCTGAGGACATACCTGCAGTCCAAATAAAACCAGTAATGCTGTTTTACTGGACACAGGTGGCAAAGGGGCCGCATGCTAACCATTTTAACTCATTAAAAATACAAAAAGGACATGGAATCTTGAAATTTTCATGCTTAATGGTACTTCTCCTAACTTCATACATCACTATTATTCCGCAGTTCTGCTCAGGAACAGGAACAGTCGATGTACCACCTATCACATCACCATTGCTAGCCAGCTGACACAGCCTGTTGGACAAGTTGCCCAGTGGCTCCTGGAGGCAGCGGTTGCTTTGGGAACCATCCTTCGCTAATGGAAAACAGTTTATTGAATTTGGGTGACTGTCTCAGTTAAACCTCTCAACCTCATGTTAGAATAAAACTTGAGTCATGGGTATTTAATATTCAATCTAGTAATTTTAAATTAGTTTAAATCAATGTGCCACAGACATGTGGTTTCACAGATTTCTTGTGGCAGCACTAAGGTTGACAAAATACAAATTACTTCTAAACTGGCCCTGAAGCCATCCCGGCTTTAAAGGAGCACTGCCAGTGGTTGTTTTAGCCTAAACAGACAATAAATTTAATTCCACCAAAATCCACAAAGTGAATTTATCAATTTGTAGATCTTCTAAGAAAAGAAGTTACATCGATGTTCCTATAACAATCTCTTTTCAACTAAAAATTATTTCTATCTGCTTTAAACTGGCATAAGTTATCTTAAAAAAAATTAAGAGGAGGTAAACACTCTACAGGCATTACAGAAGCAATGAGCATCGTACTAGTATCTTAACACTGTATTGCCATTTGCAATAAATTTAGAGACATTCAAAGCCATTAAGTTTGCATGAGGGTAGTCTTTAAGTATTCTAAGTGTACAAATAATGAAACTACAAAGAGCTAGGAAAACCATTTGTGTAATATGATTTAAATAAAGACAACAGTTACAACTTGTTTGTAATCCTGAAATATCACACATTAGTGCATTACTGTGAACACTCAGACCCCTCTTTCCAGAAGCTTCACAAGATCTAGCCAAAGCTTTCTGCCTGTGACTTCCATAGGAGGAACATTGGAAGCCAAGGTTGTGCTCTGTCCTAAAGGTAATACAATTGTTTCACAGTGTTAACATTTTAAAAATTAGTTGATATGTACTAACCCTTAAAAATGTAGCCCCTTCACAAAAGCTGATACACTGCATAATGTACGACACCTTACAAAACAGGTATAGTATGCTTATTTCAAAAGCAAGAATCTACAAGATTCTTTGTTTTGGTATCTTCATATGATGATAGCTTCAAAACATTGAAAGATAACAAGGACAAAACACTGAAGGAAAACAAAACCAGACAATTCTTACAAGTCAAAACAACAATAACCTGAAAGGGGGAGAAATCGGTCTTCTTTGCTCCCTGCACACTGTTTAGCTCAATGCTAGCATGAGCCCACACAGGCAAGCAGGCTAGCACGTTCAGTGACACCGCTGCCCATCACCCGTCTACGGAGGTAGAAGTAAAAGGAATGGAGAGAGACTACACTTCTCTTTGGATTGTTCCTTAGTTTAAAATAATTCACTTAGCAGTGACAAGAAACTCCATTATTAAAGATGTTTGCTTCCATTAAGGTATGCTTGCTGAAGAGGTTAATGTCCTATTTGCACATTGCCAAATGCCTGCTGTAGGCTCCTGCTCTAACTATCTATCCTGCTCTAGTGGATGCACTAACAAAGCTGCTCACATAAGCACTCCTCAACCTTATTCAGTCAAAATGAATACGGCTGGCAAACACCTACCGTTTAAAGTAACCCACTTGAGGAAGGAAGAAAGGGCAATACTAAGGATTACAAAGCAATTTCCTCCCTTCCAATACGCATTCCAGAAATAATGAATTACTACTGTAATACCAGAGACAACATTTCTTAAAAAACAAGGAATATGCTGGCTCAAGTGGAACCATGTGTACCTGTACACACACACACACAAACGTGCTCCCTCCAGACAGCTTGAAGAACTGATTTGGAAGGCTGGAAGAGGTGGCTGTTTTGTTTTTTTTTTTTTTTTTTAACTAGACAAGGTAAAGGGGCCAAGTGCCTCAAGTGTTCACGAAAGCCTTATTAGGGCAAAGTACTACTGGCTTTTTTCCTAGCAGACTCTGATAATTTGGAAGCGCAGTTGTGTAGAAAAAAGAATCTGAAGGTCTGAACCACAAATCAAAACTCAACCTGCCAAGAAGAGGTAAAGGAAACCAAGCTGTAATTCCAACACCACACAAAACTGGCGTAAGTCAGGACTGCAACCAAAAGAAATGGCGTCAGCCTCTTCCTGGCCACCTGTGCTGGTGCAGGAGGTGGTCTGTACACCGTATGGCCGCTCAGTCAGCCAGCTCAAGGAACCGATCCAGACTAAAATGAATTCTCAGAAAAAGTCTCAATCATTTACTCCATCTGGTTTATGACTTCTCTATAAACATTCATGTCAACACATGGGAGGAGCGGATGAGGAGGGAGGAAGCAGCAGCCAAGGCAAGACTGCTTCCTTCCACAGCAGCACTCATTTGTTCTGCTCATGATATTAAGACCTTAGACGGCTACTCTGAAGTGAAATCTCAATTTAAAGCCTATATATTAATCAACTGTGGGTGCAAAGAGAGAAATTAGGACTATTTATGCTGCTGCTTTGAACATTCATGCTGAAAGTTCAGCCACTGAAAACATTTATTTCAAAAATAAAATGCTGAGTTGGCTTGATGTGTCCTGCTAAAACACAGGGAAAGCTACAAGTTTCAAGGACTTAAGCTGGCAGACTGTCAAGTCAAAGAAAAATAATGATACTCTGCCATTGTTCCAACGTGAAAGTAAGAAGTAACCTCCTCCCCCTTCTTGGTGCAGATTCACAATGAGAAAAAGCAGTCTTAGTTTGGACAACTGAAGTTCTGCCAGTTACTTTCCAAGCAGCTACACATTGGTAACTTTAGTTCAAAAATATCGTTCCAAAATACTTGGAACAGTGGGATACATCCTTGTAGCCCCTTACTAGGCTTTGGCGTTCAAAAAAAAAGACACTTTCAGGACTACATACTAGATGTTAGATTAGAAAATACCGTACAGTTGCCATCCATTTATTTTTTGTTCAGAAAACCTAAAAATCCCAGAAACAGAAAACCATCAATGGAAGAACAGAATGCAAACAACACTGGACCGAAAATAAGAGGCAGTTGTTTCTGAAGCACTCTTTTCCCTGTACTTACACAAGTCTAGGGGATAATAATACAACCATCATGAACAAAGCTAGTATTTCTAATTATGTACGGATCACAGAGCTACACATAGCAAGCATAAGTTTCAGCTATTAATACAGAATTAAACCTTTACAGATCTACTGAGAACTCCCCATAGTGGCAGATATCTGTGGCAGAAGCTCTGCAAATTCAAGACAGTGATGCATATTAATTCCAAGTAAAGACACCCTCAAATCATTTAGGCAGCATCCTGATGGCCACTCATCGTAACATGTAAACCCACACAAGCAACATTAAACAGAAGCAGTTTACTTTAAATTGCCTCCACACGCCCTAAGTAGGCAACTCATAACTTCATGTTATCAGCTGAAAAAGTGAAAGAAAGCATTAAGTTCGCAAAGTAAGGTCCCCACTATGGAAGAGAACTCCAGGTAACTCGCTGA